ATTTTTTCACAGTAGATTTAACTTTAAGGGTGTTAAACTTTGCATATCGGGGCCATTAGTTCAAATTATCTTTGAGTTTAATCTCAACGTCTAACTGAAGATCCACTTATCCTTTAAGAATGACCAAACTTGTCAACAACAATTACAGACTCTATTTCCTTCAAAATGAGGGACATTTTTCAATTAGTTGCCTGGACAAAATCCAAATTCCAGAGGGCTATTATGCCAAAACATGTTCAAACAAAAATATCCTCTCCCCCTTTTTTGAAGTGGACTAGTCCAATTAGTCAGTCACTAAGGGATTTTAGATAAATACAAAGTTTTTAGAGCGACCCATAACATACTTGAAGGGACGACTGTGAAGCTTAAATTGATGAGTTTGGTTCTTCTTTGGTAGTGGCAACATTTTAAACATAATAAAAAAGCAAGATGCCTATGTTGTTGAATTTATACATGGATTCTATTCGGCACAAGATAAAAAAGTATTCTTCTGAGGTAAGGCAAACAATGTGTTTTAATTCAACTTTTCAAAATTTATACGTTTATTCATATTAAGTAATAGAAGAGAATGTAAGTGTCGTTCTTTTTTAAAGGGCATGGTTATACATTATCTATTATCATGATTGTTTATTATCATATTTATATATTGATGATATTGCAAATATTTTTGAATAATGAATTATTTTCATGGTTTTAAAATAGCTGAAATACTTTTCATTTTATAAGAACCAGTACAATTTTTCCCAGGCTCAGTGTTCTTATTTTTTGCCAATTTTTACATCATCTATTACCATTATTATCTATTATTATTATATGTCAATTGATGATATTGCAAATATGTTTGAATAATTAATTATTTTTATATGGTTTTAAAATAGCTGATATAATACTAGTTTTTCATAAGAACAATTAAAATTTTGCCTTGGCTCATTGTTCTTATATCTTTTTGCAAATTTCAGGCTCAAAATTTTCTTATTTTGAGGGAGAAATTATGTATTTCAGCAGCCAAGTATTTTGTGTCATTCCCTGGTGGAACTTCAGATTACATCACATTTGATGACATTATTGGAGTCGATATTATGTTGATATAACCTTTTTAAACATTAATACTTCACTGTATTTGACTAGATAGATGTGTTGGTTTTCCTAGTTTTTTAATAAAACCTCTTTTGACATTTTACCTTAGCATCAATTTGTTTTTATTTTGTTTATTAATTTTTAAGCAATTTCAGCATCTATGATCTTTTTAAAAAAGTGTACAATTGGACTTGAAATAAAAACACTGGTGGCAGCATTGGACTTGTATGCTGAGATCTAATCTATATTAGTTGTATTTTACTGAGTTAATAAGTATTTTTCATTTTTTTTTTTTTTTCATATTTTTTATTGGGACCCATGAGATATGAAGACCTGTCTCTTATACACATCTAGATGTGTAAAAAAAAAAAAAAAAAAAAAAAATCACTGTCTTTCCTCATTTATGTCATGAAAAATTTATCTGCTTTCAATGCGACACAGTTTAAAACAATTTCCATTTTCACTGATGTACAGATGTTTTATTTATTTTTTTTTTTTATAAGAATGAATTGATTGGTGTGGAATATAAAGTTTTCATTTTAAGTTTTTATATACAGTAAGAAATTAAATATTTGATTAAATATTTAAGTTTTCTTTAAATCATTGTAATTGTAATTGATATATTTCTCTAGTGCATAATACGAAAAGCTTATTTCTCTGAGACTTTCTTTGGTCAAACTAAGCATATACCTCGTAAGTTTGATCAAAAACTATCCAAGAGCACATCACTGATATTTTACAGAATTTGTTAAACATTTAGAATAATGACTCAGAATATGAGTACTCAAAATTATTCTATTTTACAAATAATCTGTGGATTCTTTGGTTTTTAGGATGACCACTTATGTGCAAAATGCTATGATCGGTCCTTTAGCCACTGGCTAGCTAATACCTACAACATATTTAATTCCAAGTACAAACATTATTATAATATGACCAAAGTAAAGTTACCCTTCAACTTCGTCATATATATAGAGTAATCACAGTGGCCGGTTGTAAATAAATCATTAAAGTAGTGATTAACTATAACTATAAAGATGTGGATCCTACAGTACATCTGTAAAATTCCCACCTTGAACCCAATTTTTTTTTTGAATTCCTATATCCACCAAAGATTAGCACTGTTTAACAGTAATGTCATTTTAATCTAATATTACTAAGATTTAGAAGAATTGAATATTTTCCACGAACTGTACCTATTTTTGACATTTCAAAGAATCATTGACAAGTTGGTTTTTTTGAATGACAAATTAAGATTAGTATGGTTTTGGCTAAGAATAATTTCCAGCTGTGTTTTCAATCTGGACTTCTGATTGTAGGAAATATTGCAAGATATTTCCCAGATAATGTGGTTATTCATACTTTGGAATATATACAGCAGTTTCATTTATTAATTGGAACTGTTCCAAAATGGTATCATTGTACTTACAGTACATTGTATTTAATCCCAGACGTCTAAGTTACATTCCAGGGACAAATCACCAGGTTTTCATGAATATAATTGGTGACAATTTGGGTGACAATGACCTGATTTTGCTTATATTTACTCAATCATTAGTTCCTGTAGGAGCAATATATTTTCCACAAAAAGAGAAATTGATGAATTATTGTGGAGGGAGTTAAAAAAATAAAAAACAACACAAAATTTGTTAGAAATCCTCAAAAATGAAACATACTTTTGAGTCTGTGAATTGAATGTATTTTTAGTTACTGTAGAATGCAGAAGAAAAGCAAATGTTTAGTTATATATTATTTTAAATAGCTTTTTGTATCTTTTTACATTTCTTCACAGTCTGTATATCTATGAAACTGCATGGGGAGATTTTTCTTTGCAAATGAATATACTGTATGAAATTAAAACAAAATCTCCAAGCAGTTTCTTTAGATGTTGATGAAATTTTAGCAGCTTTACTTTTGCGCTTAACGCTACACGCTATTGCCGACAGCTTTCGGTGACGCCGATTGGTCGGTCGTATCTGGGAGCCTACTCGATTATGCCAGGGATCGCTGCGAAGCACAACAATTGTACTAAAAAAACACTGTAGCGAAAGTGTAGCGTTTTTAAAGAAACCAGACTTAACTCAAAGTTCCAGATAATACTGTTTCTTACCACATTTCTTGCCTTCTTGCATTGTTGTAATTTGGGGAATCACCCAAAAATGCATCTAGGTTAATTGAGTATATTACTTTCTACAGTGGTCATTGATGTATACAGTAAGACAGTTGTCAACTAAAATGAATTTTTGAAGTGAAACCAGATCAGTTGAATCATCGTGCAACGATCATCAACATCGAACCATTTATTTTTATATCTCTACAATCTCTCATCAAATCGTGAAGAACAAAAATCTGAAACTACCCAGATTTAACTATCGTTGTCAAGAAAACAAAAAAAAAAAAAACATTATTTTACTTTCTTTTCAGTTGACAGTATTGGCTTGATTCTCAAGCACGGGTCACAATATTGTGCTAGTTGTGTTTCGGCCAGACGTCAGATGGTTGGGGTATTTGCAAAGTGATTAATAGTTCAACATGGGATAGTCATTTCCGTCATCTATTTACCTTTGTATTTTTCTGATCCATAGGGATTCCCTTAGCTGATTTTAATAATAATAATAATTAGAATAAAATAGTATTTATATACTCCTAATGGATCATAGATTCCTCTAAGTTTTTTTGTATGTAATTGTTTCAGTTCTTTGTCTAAAATTGAAATATTTTCCAATTTTAAATTTAGTTTAACGTCACGATTTATCCCACGACAGCTATGGCTTGAATACATGCCGTAACAAGGCAGGTTTACTGTAATTATTGATACAAAATTCTAAAGGTTCTTTCGTGTCTTGTAGGAAACATTAAGTTCCTACTGACATGGCGGTTGTTTTTGCAATTCTTAGTATGAAGCTTGACATCTGATTCCGAACAATCTCAGAACTTGACATACTTATTACAATATTCTTCAACGTATGTTCCCTGCTCAGTCGGAATCACTTAAACCCAAAAGACTGTTGTTTGTGGAACAAAATGAAAGTAAACTAATTAAATTACTCGCACATGAAAACCTTGACACGCCCTCCAATGAACGCTTAAGTGTACTTTGGCAATCAGGGTAACAGTAAATTTCCAGGTACTGGCCGATAAACTATTGAGAGTAATCAAGTCTTGTAATGAGGGGAAGCTGTCCGGTCGAGTTTGCCTGTTCATTTGGGATGGACAATTTGTCGCTGAGCCTATTTTAGAATTTTCCTATTGTAAGATAATCCTAACTGTTTTTTTGTTCTTTTCTGTTATGCAGGAGGTTATAGACCTCAAAATAATAATAATATTTTTCAATATTTTTTGAGAGTTTCTCTTTTATTTAGTTTCTCAGAATTTTGTCCCAAATATTGCTTTCCTACATACATTTCATTTCCAAACTATCATATACATTTTATTTCAAATTGCATCACATCTTAAAAGGCAAACTACGGTTTATATAAACATTGTCATTTTGTAAGAAAAATTAATTTTGTATTGTTTTTCTTAATTGACACTTGTTTGCTTTATTTTTTGGATTACTGTTTTTTTTTTGTGTGTGTTTTTATGAATTCTGTTTGTATTTAATAGAATGAAATTTAACCAAATGAAATTTCTTCTGTGCTTATTTAATTGTGGGTAGTGAAGGCTGTATGATATTGAGGGGGTAAACTGTCCCCCAGGGGATCTGACATATCCAATACAGACCAGGAAGGTCCAGAGTTGAAGTGTTTGTGGTGGTTGTCTGTAGAAAAACTGTGCAACGTTGAGTCATTTTAAATGGTTCAGAACATATTTATCTAGAAATATGCTATATTTATGCACTTACCTTAATCGTAAAAAATAGTTGTTTATGTTGTACCTTTATATGCACTATTTTAAATCCAAACATATTTAAATCATTGCAGACTGATCCACCAGATAAGATTCTGCCGGAGCCAGTTTTCAACACCAACACCACAGACATCCTCTACAGTGGATGGCTGAAGACACATCAGGGGATGCTCTTCAAGTCGTGGCAGAAGTGTTGGTTCGTTCTAGCAGATGGACACCTGCATTACTTCAAGCTTCTGGGATCCATGCCATTGGAAGGAACAAAACTTAGTTCCAGGCTTGCCTGCCAACCAGATGAACCCGAGGGCTGCATTTTAAGTATCAAACCAGGTACAATACGATTTTTTTTTTTTATTTATGAAACATTTTTATTATTATTCTTCTTTATTTTATTTTTAGTTTTCAGCATGTGAATTTTTTTTAACCCTGATTCCTGGTGTTTGAAAGATCTCAAGGCAAGTATCTTAACTACTCCATTAATGGTCTTATGGTATGGGTACCACCAGGTTCAAATCCCATCTGAATCCTTTTCAATTTTTTCTACAATTGATTCGAACACATAAATATTGTACACTGAATCATATCTGTTTTGGCAACTTCTTTATTTTTTGTTTTTTGGGGAGTTTCCTGTTTTGTTTATCTACATTATTAATCATTATTCAAGGAGAAATTAATAGGGATGGATGGTTAACTCCTTATTTCCGTGTAAATATAATGAAATCTCAGCAAATATTCCCTCCAGTCAGATTCATTCATTCATTCTTTATTTAGCCTTTTATAAAAAATCACAATACATTTATATAGTAAAATAGAAAATAAAAATCCATACTCACAATACAGAATAAACATTTTATGATAGATCTACTAACTTCTAACAATATTAATTTATAATGATAATATTTTTCAGTTGATTCAATTTAAGTTAGTTGGAATTTTCAAAATGACTTAAGGCCATAAGGATGTGAGTAAGTCAGATGGAGTAAACCCCTGTTCAAATCCCTCAGTCATAATCAGAAGACTAATGTAAAACAGTTAAATTCTCGAACCTTATTTTTTGTGATTTTTATTTTGGGGTGCGTATCTGTTGGATCAGTGTGTCTGCGGTACCCTACGGGCTCTTGTTGTTGATATCTCCTGTAAAAATTGTCATGTAAACGAATGTTCGTTGACAAGGGACATTGGCCTTAGGGATTTATCCCCAGCCAGTTCAATTTAGTTATTTTGAAAGATAAAAATTGGACAGTTGTTTTTAAAAATCATCTCTAAGAGGGTAGGTGATATTTATATTGGGTACTTTAGCATATTTTGAGTGTGCGAAACACTGATATGGAATATAGTTGTTGTGTGTGTCTATTTCAATAAAGAAGATCTTTACATTCAAATGCATCCAAGCTTTTCTCACGGTGGAATGCTTATTCTATTTGTCAATCAAATCAAACTAAACTACATTATTATTTCTTAGAATTCTTTATTGGAAGTGGAGATGTATAGCTTAGTGGTTAAGGTGCTTGCCTTCTAATCCCAGGGTCATGGGTTCAATTCATGTGACAACAGGACTTTTTCTCACAACTAAAAGGAACTCCAATCCATAAGCCTGGTGAATCATTGTCCATCCACTGGCACCGGCAAGTTGCAGTACTTGCTGGTGGATGTAATTGAAATAAAAAGAATATTGTTTAATCCTAAAAGTTTTTTTTTGTTTTTCCCAAAGTGAACTTAAAGCACTGTCTTATATAATAAATACTCTAGACCAATATTTTATATATCTAATCTAATCTAATCTGGTCATTTATATAGCGCCTTTCTTTACAGATACAAAGCGCTGTAAGTTTTTCCCTGGTCATTGGGTTCTGGTTCTGGTGGGTAAAACCGACCTCTTAAGGACTCCAAAAGTGTAGAAGTATAACGGGAGGAGTAGAAATAGTGTCGAATGATAGGAAAGGTCCACCACCGCAGTTTAAGACGCGCAGCGTCAGTCATGAGCAGGCTTGCTGAACCGCCTCAGGCCGCATTGGGCCTGATAGGTAGGAAACTCACAATCACACGAGCAACGGCTTTGCGAAAAAAAAAACCACATTTGGGAGTGAAATCTCGGAGCATTTAGAGTAGAGTAAGCGACAATTACACCTCCAAGAAAGAAGGCGAGAAAATTAAGATGTTAGAGTAATGCACGTTAAAACAATAGATTATCCACATGCTTAATTGGCTGCCATCTTGGCGCAGGAGTAGGCAACACCCCAGCAGGTACCAATTTATATTCCTGGGTGGAGAGAAGCAATGTAGATAAAGTAAAGTGCCTTGCTCAAGGACACAAAGTGAAATGCACAGCGAGGTGTTGAAACCCCACCCTCGATGTTGGGAAACCAAACCGTTCTCGCTGCGCCAAACCGCTTCCACAACATATGCATGTATACGATATCAATATGAGGCTTAAATTGAATTGAATTTATTCGACATCATTAAAAAGAAAAATATTACAATCATCAAACATTAAAACATCAAGTTACCAATTCACATCAAGATAGATAAAAAGACCCAAAGCCAGAAGATAAAAATTGCAAAGAAAATATAGTCATTAGTATAAGTGTAAACATTTTATAATATTCATTGTTTTTCTATACACCTTTCAAGAGGACTTATTTCCAATGGGGTATAAAAAGCTATCACCTAATATAAGAGTGTATATAAAAAAGGTTATAAAAAGTTAAAAAATGAAATTGATAAAAAGTTAAAACAATAAAGCTAAAAGAAAACCTGGGAATTTTCTCTATTGAAGGCTCTTGCTTTAATTTATTCTTTAATTTTAATCTTGATAAATTAAAGTTATTTTTTGCTGTTGAAGAAAAATCTGGTCACGAAATAAGAATTGAAGCTAGACCAAGCGATTGGAAAGCAAGCATCTAAACTGACAAACTACAGCTCCACTCCATTCATATTTAAAATATGGAGAAAATTAAGACTTAATAATGAAACTAAGTATAACAGCATCATGCCATCTTGTGGTTTGCAAATTAAATGAATGTGAAAGACTTTGGAGTTTACAGACACGTAAATTATAAACAGAAGAAAGTCTTCAATACATTTTTTTCTATTAGTTGCAATAAATAGAAAATATTTAACATTGAAAATAACATTTTGGTAGATGTAAACATAGGTTAAGTTTGAGTGACATTTGAAATTATGATTGTTAACTCAATGTTTATTGAATTTTCCGTAGACCTGTCCTTGATTCATGTTGGCCAACCTCCGGTATGTCATTCATGTACAGGATTTGTCTGTGTGATTTTTTATATGAACATTAATGATTAATTGATTGAGTGATTGATTGATGTCTTCCAGGGAAACATGTCTTATACTGTAAAACTGTTGCCAGTAGATAGCTTTTCTCATTGAAGAAAAAAATTCCTGTACAGAAACAGTGGTTGCTATGCCTGTGCGCTCTTGTGGGACAGATCCCAATTGCACCCATCTCCCAATTGCACCCAACTCAGAGGTACCCAGAGAGGGGCACCCACCCCTACACATAAATACCAACTTTATTTTGAGTTTTACCCAGAGAGTTTCATTGAAAATATGGTTAAAATATCCGATGAATGACAACTTATATATTCAATAAATTATTTACAAATAAATTTCTTTAAATGGATATTATAGAATTTACAATATCTTTATAGAATTATATTTTGAAATTGCAATCGACAAATCCTTTTTTATCATCTTAAATAAAATGCAACTATTATTATTGTTTGTTATAATTTGTTTGTTTTTTTGGGTTTTTTTTGACAGGAAACGAACAACATGGATGTTGCAACAAGCCTCTAAGTTTGTGTGCCTCAACCCAATTTGAGGCTGAAAAATGGGAAAGGCAAATTCGAAGGATAAGAGGAGGTGAGTGTCAGAGTATATGCAAGTGGTTACTGTATATGTGCTCAGTGAGCCTATAGGCAGCTGATAGCCTAGCTGCAATTGGCCAGCAAAATTTAGTGAGTGTTAAACACTGGACCCATCCACGCTGTTCTCCCTATTTTCTATAGTTGTAAGTAAGTAGGAAAGCAAACTGCTGCAACAGCCCATAGAATGTTTAGATTTATAGAACTTGCCTATTTATTGTAAAAGTTCTTGCCAGTGACACTAAATTCAGTGTGGTGGTGTAAATTTAGATATAATTAATTCTCTCTTGTGTATTTAATGTAGATGTTGTCAAGGGAGGGCCAATGACCAAATACCACC